CGCGGCTGTCGGGATGTGCAGGGCTCGGATCACAGGAAGCTCTGCAGTGAGTGACAGCTCCTCTTGGTGCCACTTTGGCCTGCCTTGCTCAGAATGGGGTGGGGGAGCGATACTGGTAAAAACCCAGTACAATAGTAACCAGTTAAACAATTAAAATCATATCACTTAACTGGTTAACCATGGTGGGCAGGGGCCTGCTGGTGGGGTGTCGGGATGTGCAGGGCTCGGATCACAGGAAGCTCTGCAGTGAGTGACAGCTCCTCTTGGTGCCACTTTGGCCTGCCTTGCTCAGAATGGGGTGGGGGAGCGATACTGGTAAAAACCCAGTACAATAGTAACCAGTTAAACAATTAAAATCATATCACTTAACTGGTTAACCATGGTGGGCAGGGGCCTGCTGGTGGGGCTTGCCACAGCTGTGGTTAGGGGGGCTGTTCTGGCTGGCTAACTGGTTACTGGGTAATCATATTGATGAGCCTACTGCTTATTGGTTTACCAGTTAACCTCTGTATTTGTATTGTCTCTTTGCGTGACAAGTCCCTGGGTACAGTCTGGACTATGAGTGCTGTGCTCCTTTAACTCCAGTCTGGGTTTTCTCACATAATGCTTGGACAGTGAGAAGCAACAAAATCCTCCAAGTGCTGTTATCACTCAGTCATGGCAGGGAGAGGAGCACTTAAGTTGCATAAATGCTCTCTATGCCACAAATGGGTACATGGAGACAAACACTAGCAAATCACCTCATCAGAGAACAGTGGGCATGCAACAGCCAATGTAATCTGAGCAGATTCTTCAATCGCTTTAGACAAACTCACTGTTAAGGATAAAACATTCAAATAAAAATAAGTGTCAGTCACAGAAAAATAGATTGTAAGTTATTATAAGTAGTAGGCATATAGGACAAAGATGATTACAAAAGAAATAAAAGCAAATCCAGTCTAAATTCTAAACATTATCAGACTAAGCAAGATTTGAATCAAACAGCTTTTCTGATCCCACTAGATGTTGCATTCTTTTGCAGTCTTTAATACACAGGCTGAATTTCCTCAGCCTGGGACCGGTCTCCTTAGTTTGAAGTCTTTGTCTTTCCAGCATTTTTGTTGCTGGTCAGTAGCTCATGATGGGTTCTTCATGCATGTTTGAATATGGGTCACCTTTGTTGTCAATTATAAGGTGGTAGTGGGCATCTCTCAAACTCACAACATATTTCAGTAACAGTAAAGGAAAATCTCATAACTTCATACACAATAGGGCTATGTCTACACTGGCCCCTTCTTTGGAAGGGGCATGCTAATTTTGAACTTGGGAATAGGGAAATCCGTGGGGGATTTAAATATCCCCTGCCAGATTTAAATAAACATGGCTGCCGCTTTTTTCCCGGCTTGGGGAAAAGCCGGAAAAAAGCGTCTAGACTGGTGCGATCCTCCGGAATAAAGCCCTTTTCCGGAGCGGCAGTCTAGACGTGATTCTCCGGAAAATAAGCCCTCTTCCGGAGGATCTCTTATTCCTCTCTTTCAAGTAGGAATAAGAGATCCTCCGGAAAAGGGCTTTATTCCGGAGGATCGCGCCAGTCTAGACGCTTTTTTCCGGCTTTTCCCCAAGCCGGGAAAAAAGCGGCGGACATGTTTATTTAAATCCGGCAGGGGATATTTAAATCCCCCGCAGATTTTCCTATTCCCAAGTTCAAAATTAGCATGCCCCTTCCGAAGAAGGGGCCAGTGTAGACGTAGCCTAACAGTATGCATAGTTTGCCAGAACAATGAGTTCAGTAGATCATGACTCTTCATAAATACCTTACAAGGCAAGAAATATGTGTATGATAATCAAGTAATTAAAATGGGAGTCCTACTTTAAGGTACAGTGCATAACACCAACTTCTTTTGAGTCCTCCCAGATACCCATAATGGTAGGGACAATTTTTTCCATCCATGTGTGGATTTTTTCTAGCTATTTGAGGAATAATTGTTTACATGCACTGAGACATGAGAAATACAGAGTCCAGTGCTAGCGCTGTGTAGTACCTGCAGTATGAAACAAGAGCTCAAGGTGGTGGTACGGAGTTGCTTTAAGGGCAATCACTGCAGCAGGGTATGTTCAAGTTTGCAGACAGCCTGAGACAATGGCTCTGAGAAGGGAACTGACTGTGGCATCTCCATGCATGTTCATCTCCCAGACCCACTGCTCTTGGAGACTACGCACTTCACCCCAGCAAGAGGTGGGACAGAGCACAGCCATCCAGTAGAGTAGAGAAAACAAACTAGTTGTGGACACTCTGCTGGATAGCTGGGCAGCATTTGAATTGTTCCTGAGTGGCTGCACAAGCACACAGATTACTGGAAACATTGGTAGAACTGATGATAATGTGAGCTGGTCTGCTCTGGTGTTAGATGTGAGCATGTATGTAGCATTTTTGAGCAAGAAAGAGTGAGCTTCCTAGCCCAGGATTATAATACTTGGGCAAGTACAGGGGTGAGTAATAATTGTTAATGGAGGGCCATTACAAGATTTTGGCAAATGGTCAAGGGTTGCACTTCTGTGGAGGCGGTGTGGAGTAGTAATGTTATGTAGGTGACTACACAATTAAACGATAAGCCTGGGTATATCAGTTAATATTGTCAGCTACATGCATTCCCTACAGCTTGCCTTTGTAACAGAGCAGGAGATGGTTCCCATGAGGATTTGGTTTAAAAGCTGGTTCTCCACACACCAGATCTGCTCCCTTCCCCCCCCCCCCCATATCTGATAGGGAGGCAGCAGTGTGGAATATGAGGAGGGCAGGCTGGAGCTAATATGTGAGAGGAGCCGGCTTACAAGCTGGTTTCCCGCAGGACCAGCTCCCTGATGCTTCCCCCCGCCCCCTTGCCTCTTTCTTCACAACTGTGAGGACCAGAATCATTTTTTTTAAATGCTGTTTTAGATTCTGGAGCTGGGGTTCTAAACACATGGCTGTATTTGTGCTTTAATCTGTCTCTGTCCATACATATATCTGAAAAGATAAAACTTTAGAAGCCTGGCAGAGCATGTTTATATGTATATTTTATGCCTGGTGGCAGCGCTCTGGGGAAGGTCACTTCTCCCATCCCCAATTGAAGCCTAATCTTAAGAAAACACAATAAATTAGCCTGGAAATTCAAAGTTCAACATCTAGATTACTGAAAAGAAACCACCAAAAACACAAACATTTAAAATATGCATGTATCAATAAATTAAATAAGAATTCTTGTGTCTTGCATCCAACTAAAGTAATACTTCATATATATTTTTGTAGCATTTCTAGTACTTTTCATCTCTTTTAAACTTTAAACATGGACACCGAACCCGAGGTAAAGAAAGAGAAGAAGCAGCATCAGCATCCTTTCTACTGCAATGTGAGTACATCATATTATTAAGGGCCTTTGACAAAATGTATTTTTATCCATCATTGAAGGGTTTGAGAGTAAAATCAAAGAGTTTTGGAAGTTTAGGTTTAAAATGGCTTGTGGCAGCATCTGGGTTGTGATTTTCCCAACTAGTATCCAGGTTCTGGGAACCCCTCTTCCCTTGCCCCCATTTTGTAATTTACTGGTGTAACCCCTATCATTAAAGCCCTAACAAATTCACAGCCATGAAAAATGCATTGTGGAGCATGAAATCTGGTGTGTCTCCCCCCAGTAAAATTTGGACTTTTGTGTTCAGTCTTTTGTGTGCTTTTATCTGATACTATACAGATTTCATGAGGAAGACCAGTATTTCTCAAATTGGGGGTCATAACTCAAAAGGGAGTTTCAGGGGCTCAAAGGGTTATTTTAGGGGGGTTGCAATATTACCAATCTTAATTCTGTGCTGCCTTCAGATCTGGGTGGGTGGAGAGTGGAGACTGTTTGCTGGGTGCCCAGGTCTGAAAGCATCACTCTAACAGCCGCAGTGAATAAGTAAGACTAGCAATAGCCATCCTTAACTTCTGTGCTGCTACCTGCAGAGCTAGGTGGCTGGAAAGTGGCTGCTCCTGACTAAAGGTCCAGCTCTGCAAGCAGCAGCACAGAAGTCCATATCAAACCATGCCATCTGTCTGTGCTGGTGCTGGCAGTCACTCTGCCTTCAGAGATGTGGTTCTGGCCAGTATCCACTGTTCTCCAGCTGCCCAGCTCTGAAGGCAGGGTCATTGCCAACAGGAGCCCAGAAGTAAGGGTAGCAGTACCGTAATTCTCCCTACAACAGGGGTGGGCAATACTTTTTTTGGAGGGGGGGCACTTTACAAATTTCTGAAGTGGTCATGGGCTGCCCTGGAAGGGTCAGGACCTTAGGCGGAAAGGGTGGGATCAGGTGGCTTCTTGTGCTCCCCTGCGCTCAGACTCTGATTGGCCTGGGGCAGAGGGAGCACATGAAGTCTTTGCCCCTTGCCCCTCAGTGCCTAGAGAGAACTGCCAACTTCCTTGTTTCCAGGTTTCAATTGGCCTGGGGGAGGGGGAGTGGTAGAAAGGTTACGGGCCAGATCACCAGCATGACGGGCTGGATCCAGCCCATGTAGACTGTCTTGCCCATCCCTGGGGTAAGGGATTCAGGTGCAGGAGGACCTGTGAGGTCTGGGAGGGAGTTTGGGTGAAGGAGGCAGTTGTGACCTGGGGCATGGGATTGGAATGCAGCCATTTGAGTTGTGATCTAGGGCAGAGAGGGTTGTGACCTGGGGCACAGGATTGGGGTGCAGGGGTTTGGGTTGTGACCTATGGCAGGAGGGGGCTGTGACCCAGGGCAGGAGACTGGGGTGCAGAGCAGGGTGCAGGGGTGTGGGCTGTGACTTAGGGCAGGGGATTACAGTGCAGGGGTTTGGGGTGCAGGGTCTGGGAGGAGGGTTTGACTTATGTGGGGTAGAGGAGTAGGAATGGAGGAGGTTTAGGAAGAGGCAGGCTCTGGCTTTGAGACTTAACCGTGAGACTCCTGGCCAGCAGCCCAGCTCGTTTCTCAGGTAGGAACTTGCCCTTCCCCTGCACAGGCAGCAGGGCTATGTGCTCTTTGAACAAGAGCTGAGGAGAAGGGGGAGTAGTGCTTCACGTGCTGCCTGTTTTTCAAACAGGTAGCTCCCATAGGCCAGAAACCAGACAATGGGATTGTGCTGGGGGCAAGAGCAGCCAGCCCATGAACCACCACTCCTCCCTCCCCCAGTCTCCCTGCTGCGTCTGCGAGCCAGATCCAGCCCACAGAGGGTGTTTTGCTAAGGCATGCCTTACAATAACCCTGTGACCACTCTGCTGTCCACACACAGAGTTATTTTTTTGGGTCATTATGCCACCATGAAATTTTAGATTTAAATACCTGAAATCATGAAATTTACCATTTTTTAAAAAAAATTTGTGGGCATGAAACTGACCAAAATGGGCCATGTTGTTGATAATACCCTACCTATCATATTTCTAGCTTGTGCCAGTACAAGATCTTCCTGTGCAGATGCTTGTCACTTTTTCCCCTCTATTAAAATGGGAATCCAACACTATTAGACCAGCTATTTCTGACTATAGACTTTGTGCATAATCTCCTTTTAGATATAATATCTTTTTGCTTCTAAAGGTCAGAAGAGAGGAAAATGTTTGAATGAATGAATGAATGAATGAATGTTTTAATGAATCTCTACAGATTCTTTAAGTTGCCACATGTGTCTGGAATCTGCAGTGATTTAATACCTAACTGTAGAGTCTTTCTTTAATACATGTACACTGCTACACATACCCAAATACCATTAGTTAATATTTAAGGTTGAGTGTGGTGGTCATGCATGTCATGTGTGTTTGGATGTAAGAGGGAAATTATGGAAGTGCTCAATTCTGTTAGTCTTAAGTCTTCATTAAGATACACCTACAAGTTTAAGGATATTTTGAGGATTTTATAGATATAGTTTTATCCTCTGATGATACCCTGGATGAAACAAACAAACCAACAAACAAACAAACAAGGATATGTCTACACTGAAGTTGTATCTGTGATTGCAGATCATGCATGCCTACCCGAGCTACAAGCTTTCATCTGTTTATCACAAGTCTGTATACAGGCAGTCCTCGGGTTACGTACAAGATAGGGACTGTAGGTTTGTTCTTAAGTTGAATCTGTATGTAAGTCGGAACTGGCGTCAGCCGCTGC